GCCGAGCACAGGTCCGTCCTCCCCTTTTATACGGACCTAGGTGGGGCCCACGTGACGTGGGCGTAGACTATTGGTCTTCAGAATGCGCGCGAGCGCGCGCGGGGGTACCCATCTGCGATAGCCTTAGAGGGCGGAGCTTACACGAAATAGAACCTTTATTTTTGCAGTTCAGGAGATACAGCCAAAAAACCAAATTGTGGCCTTCAATGCCAAATGATTCACCAAGTAAGAAAGATGGAGAACGAAGGCGAAAAGCAGGGGCGTACAAGGCTCTTTATAGGTTTCCACAGATGTACCATAAATCTTGTCATGGTATACCTTAAGCGTTCTTCTTTCCTAATATGGTCATATGTGCCGAGCTCTGTGTCACATCTGTGCATTCCTGAGACGAGGCCCCCCACTCTTTGGACACTACACTGGTTTTACTGGAGATTTTTTAAACTTTGATGTGCAAGCATCATTTTTTACTTTTCTCAACGAGCAGCCAGTGCTTTTGTAGGCCCCTCCCCCATCCCAATGCAGCCCGGTCTTTGCGTAGCGTCCAAGGATGTGTCCAAATTCAGGGGTAGACCAGGTAGGCCTTGGTCGACCGTGAAGATTGTAAAAAAGTGGCTTTATTCCCACCCTTATTCCGTAAAATAACAAAATTAGCTTAAAGGCAATATTTGAAGAAGTAATGGAGCTGCTGTAGGTGCCTGTTTATTTTGCTGTATCAGTTCATTTGATTTCTGACAAGAATAATAATAAAAACGTCTATACAAATGACAAACGCATTAACAACACAACCAATTGAAACTTTTAATTTTTATACTGCCAGATTTTCATTTAATGCTGTACTCCTTGTTCTCGCTTCATCCACCATTACAAGCAGGAAAAAAAAATCTCCTTTCGGCCCGCGGTGCATTATGGGATGTGGTGGGCTGAGAAGGATCCATCGGACCCGTCCGTCAAATCGGAGATAAAATAGGACACGTTTGTCGGTGCGGCGCTGTGAAGTACGCTGCCGACAAATTCAGCCTTCTGAGGACCCAGCCTCTGAATTTGGATGCAGAGGAAATGTGCAAAGCTCTGACTGATCCATGGCAGGAAGGACTTTTTGTTCAGTTGTTTTTGTTTTTAAATATCTTTTAGGTTTCCTTTGCTAATCCCTCTTTTTGTTCTTCACATTTGGTCTCACCCACATTCTTCTTCTCTCCCACATTATAATGCATGTGGCCAATTATGCAAATAAGTTGATAACATCGTTTAGCATCTTCTAGCAACTTTAAAAATGGCCAATATCTGTGTTTCTTCCTGAGGAGTTGGCAACATTCATGCATGGGAAAAAAAAACCCACAAACTCCACATAGAAAGGCCTATGCTGGGATATACACTGTCTTACAAGGCAAAATGTATTTTAGAAAAAAATGTGAGTTCCCATTTATTTTAAAATTTTGGCATCTTCAAAGGATGGACTGACGATGCATTAAACCTTGACAAATACTGCGTCGTAGTTTCCACTGTAAATAAGACAAAATTGGTTGAGCTTTAATTTGATTTTAAATATCCTTCCACAGAATAATACTATTGTGAAAACCATCTTTTGCTTATGTAATGCCGTGTAACACTTATTTTTAGGGAAACAGTGAACTTGACATTTTTCAGTCGTGAGTTGCAACATAGCAGCTCAAACCCTTTTACTGTATATAGATGCAGCTGACGCCCTTGTTATTCTGGGGAACGTTGTTTGTGTTCAATGCTGTTTTCCTCCTTTCACAGTCCGGTGCCAACAATCACATGGAGGAAGATAAATGGCAACATCCCCAAAAAGGCACGCCTTCGCAAGTCACAGGCTGTACTGGAGATTCCCAATATTCAGCTGGAGGATTCAGGAACTTATGAATGCAAAGCTGAGAATCCGAGAGGAGGAACTGTTTTCAAAGGGCATCTGCAGGTCTACAGTGAGTCTGAGTCTGCTGTCACTTTCCATTCTTTTTTATAGAAAAAGAAATCAAACCTTTGTGTGTGTGTGTGTGTGGTGATGTGGTATGCATGCAGTGTGGCTGGCTATTCAGACACTTGTGCTCCTATTCCCTGCTGGTCTGTTTAGATCCTTTCTGCCTTTGTGCAGCCATCATGCATTATCCAAGAGCAAGCATACATTATCACAAGTGTTGATATATTTATAGCAGACTAACACAACTGCTCTACTTTTGCTTCTCAACCTTTTTATTTCATCATTTCCATCCTACTGTATTCTACAGTTCAAGGTCAAAGATTTTTACAAATTTGCTGGTCATGCCACAGACATGTCGTCCTGATGCATCTCAGTAATCCAGGTAAAAAATCAAAAAGAAAAAAAGTGTATAGGTCTTCTGGACGGGTTCTTCTCTAATGAAACGTTTCGTCTCTCCTCCAAGAGACTTCTTCAGTCTGAGAGTTTCAGGCAAAATTCAGGCTTTTAAGCCCTGCCTCCATGTGACTGATACTCACATGGAGTATCTGATACTGATACTTTTTTTTCACAGACATAACGTTTTCAAATAAAAGTATGCTGATCGAAAAAAAAACAATTAAAAAAACATGTTAGTCATGAAGATAAATGTTGTTAGGAATGCCAATCAGGCCCATAACATTTATTTTATTAGTTTAGTTTAGTTTAAAACTTTGTTTCATTCAACAAACAAATAATAAAATGAACAATTAATAAAAAAATCAAACTAATAATAAAAACAAACAAATAATACAACATAGTTGTGTCAAAAACACAATCACAACGTAGTCAAATGAAAAGGAGCAGAAAGAATAAAATCTTATAACATCTGCCCCAATTAAAAAAATATGTATCTAAAAAAGCGTACAACGTACAAGTAATTAAACTCTACTTAATACACAATATAATTTCAAATAATAAACAAAAAGCATCACAACACAAATACAAATCTTAACCAATATTTTGTTCATATCTCATTTAGAAAAGAGCTTCTTGAGGTCCACCACACTTCTTTCAGTTTAAATCAAATTCATGAACAGTTCATTAGTTTAGAATATTTTATCATGATATCTATTAAATGTTGAAGTGAAATCAATAATTTGAACATTTTCATTTGCTGTATTTGGATTTTGTGAAAACATATCAGTTTTAAGCGAGCTTTAATTGGAAAACAAAAGGTGCTAAGCAATGAGCTGGAATTTCTGCCTTTGCTTGGGATCCTAAGCTTATCTGAGCTGATGCATGTCTCCTATTTCTCTTTGTCTGCGCCTTGTGCACAAGACAAAGATAATGGAGTACCTCAACCTTGGTAGGATGCATTTCCAAGACCCTGCACTTCTTGGCAACCTTCATTCTGTTGACATCACAAGGAGAATAGGGGCCTAATTTGTCGTGGCCCTGCGCTAAATGTAATTTACACAGGTCAGCTGGGAGTTTGAACTTTCATTGTGAGCGAGACCTCGCTGACCATAATCATTCAATCAAACCCCACGGAACACATTCTACTGAAAGTGGCATATGCATGGAAAAGAAACGAGTGTGCTTGGCATGAGAGAAACGGCTCAATACTGAGTGTCTTCTTGTCTGCACACATTGAACCAAAAATGTGCTACAAGGCATAAAACCATACCAATGAGGGTTTAATCTGATAGTGATTTTCAGCAAATGAATAAATCCATTACAGAAAAAAAACATGTGAATTATGCCCGAGTTCTTTCATTGCGTTTAAAGTTCAACTGATTAGTTGTGTAACAGGATGCAGGTGGATTTGATTCAATCTGTTTGCTCATTTGCAAAGACAAAGTTTAAAAATGACCTTATAGTTTATTATACCCAGAATCAAACTGTAATGAACTGGCTTGAATATATTAGACTAGATGTATTGCAGGACATGTAAGTGCAGCTTGGAACACAAGGCAGTAAGGTATTTAAAAGAATAACAGGAAAGGAAAAAATATGTTAAATTAGCCACTAATAAAGTTTGTATTGCTGGGTTGCTGATGTAGTTTTGACATCACAAAATGCAGATGGGGGGCCGGAAGTAAATGCAGCCGTGTTTCCTTCTGTTGATCCAGCATCAAAATGCCTAAATTCTGCATGTACGTTTGTTGCAGCCGCTCTAATCAGGAGAATTATAAAAGTTTTCTTCATGTTTCAAAAGTAGTATCACAAGGGAGATCATTTTAAACAAACTTACAGAAAAAAGACCAAAGTGGATCAACAATTTGCAGATAAAAACAGGAGATGCTGAAACAAACAATGCAAGAGTTTGCAACGACCACTTTCTAATAGGTAAGGACCATATCATTTAAATCTTATTTTCAGATATTTTATTGGACAGTTACTCAAATTTGGGTTTACAGAAACTAAATAAATTATTTACAAGTAGATCCAAGCACATAGAAATAACAGGGGTTAACTTGTTTTTAACTTTGGCGATAGCTTTGTTATCTTAGGCTAATACTCACCTGGGCAGAAATAAGTTAACAGACATTTAGCTTCTTTGGATCCTAAATGTTTGACTCAACCTGAAAGTAAATAATTGTAGCTTCAAGGCTTTTGAAAACTTTCATCGGGCTCAACGTATAATACGAGGTCTGCAGCTCCAGATAGTTTATGTTGATCGCCTCGATGCCGGTAAATCTACCAGATAATATGACAAATCTTTTTTTATTAGGACAATATGGCTCATATCTTTAATGTATGCATTTTTTTTTCACAGTATCTCATCTGTATCAGCCCATTTAGAGCATTAGCGTACTTGCTGTGATTCATTTAGCTGTTTTAAACGGAGCAAATCACTTCCCATCCCCCCATCTGAATTTAGCACATCATCGAGGTCATGTGACTGCAACCCAATAAAAAAAATTATAAACCAGCCCGGAGGGAAAAGGAGAAATAAATCTTTATTCAAGCTTGAGACACATAATGTTGAAAATAAACAAACAAAAGTACTGTAATACTTTATTCATTTATTTTCAGTCTTTTGTTACAAGTGGCTCTCGCTGGTTTCCAGCATGTAAACTACACCGTGACACAACAAAACATGAAAGTGTTTTGCACTTGGAAAAGAGAGAATTATTTTCTCTTTTATTTTTATTTAGACATCTATGCAGCTGGTGATTCCAAAAAAAAGCCCTTATTTTCTATTTGCAATGCAAACTCATGTTTCATTCATAATTAGTCCGAATGCATTAAATGAGTTCTTTCTGTTGGTGAGTAATTGTCTGATCTGTAGACCTTACTGGTGCTCAAGAATAACTTTGTGTGTTCTGAACTAGTCTGAATTCCAACTTTATTAATTTTTTTGGTATATTAAATCAAAGAAGAATTCTGCACAATAGTTCATTTATCAAAATATTTGCAGAATGTTTTGTTTCGTCAATGGATCAAGCAACCTTCGCTGCCCTAGTCTTAAGTACAGCTCTTACACAGTTGACAGTGCACTTGTGTGTGTTTTCAAGGATATATTTCTTATTCATTTTTTTTTTCTTCTTCCTCTATCACGCAGCCCTCCCTCAGTGGGTCAGAATGATTAATGACACTCAGATGGATAGTGGAGAGAAGCTCCAGTGGGAGTGTAAGGCCATCGGGAGGCCTCGGCCCACCTATCGCTGGCTTCGTAATGGTTTGCCCTTGACATCCCAGGTAGCTTCAACACACAGACCCTCTTCGTCGCTGATTGCACAATTTATGCAGCATTACCATGTAAAGTATGCCCACTTTCATAAACACTGTTTTCTTGCCTCAGGGTCGAGTTGAAACCGTGAATGGGGAACTGACCATTCACAAGGTGCAGCAGACGGACTCGGGAATGTACCAGTGTGTCGCCGAAAACAAATATGGCGCTGTCTACTCCAACGCTGAGCTGAAGATTTTAGGTAGTTACGAGTTTATTACTGGCAATGCAGACTAAATCAGATTAATTTTACAAGAATAATCTTTCCTTTCCAGCCCTTTTCTTTGCTTCTGCACAAGCAAAAGATTGACATCTGAACAAAGTACAGGATGATAGGTAAAAGAGATTGAAATTCCAGAGGGGAACGCTGAACTGTGAGATATGCTGATTGCCAATCAATGGTCCCTGATTTAACCCAGGCAGTGGACAGCATGAATAAAAGAAGGACTCTCATGGTTATATTCACTGCGCTGTCTGCACACATCAAGCTGAAGTGAGTCTGGGACATTTTGGATATTAGTCTGACAAGAATATCAACCATTGACTTGTAGGCATAGATTTATCCTAATAGAACCAAACACAAGGAATGGCTTCTTTGGTGCTGTTTAATGACTCCATTAGGGTCTCATTTGTGCTCTGTTTGCCATCGCATTACAATTCCCAACATCAAGAAAAACAAACCTTCCAATCATGACTTTTATCAGGTATTTTCTACTCAAGAAAAGCTATTATTGTGTGATAATCAGCTCTAATCATTGATAATTGCCTTTTTGCACAGTTTTAGCCTATTTTTGAAACAAGTATGCACGTTTCAGCTGAACTAGCATCACACGCACTTAGAATTTTTTTGGCTATAAAAAGCCAAGAAAAGAGTTTTTTAATCCTGAGGCTTCAGGGTAAAACACAGCAGTCGTACTGAATAGCTGTCCACTGTTCTGTGCTGATGCACTATTTTCTCCTTGTCATCTTCTATACTGGGACACATCTGGTGATACCCATTCCCCTTTCATTTTTCCCTCAGGGACAACTTGATTTACTGTCTTTATGGCTTGCCCTTTTCTGAAGGGGAATCTGTGGCATTTTGAAAATCTTACTGCAAATGGAGAAATTTTTTTATTTATTTTTATTTTTATTTTTTGTCTACACTTTGAACCATCATGGTAAAACAACACTACTTAGTTTAAAATCAAGGTGTTTGTCTGGAATTATTAAAAGTTTTTGAATTTCAACAAGCCTGATCTGAGTCGATGAGTAGGTACTTTGGCTTTTCTTGAAGTCACAGTCACATTGGGAATATTTGGAAGATGTTGACGAATGTTTTCATAACTTTACCCTACGGGAACATGATCCCAGTGACCTGTGCTCTCTCTAGATGTCCTGAAGTAAACACTATCAGGACAGATTACATGACTAAATAACAGCCTGCAGATGAGCGATCACTGGAGGCTACACGGGGGGCAGCGGTTGCTCTCACGTCTGTGATCTTGTCCCAGATCCAACTCTGCCGGGGTTGTTTTCGGGAGGGTGAAGGAACGTGGGTGCTGCTGCCACCAGCTTTGATTAAAGCAAATCCACACAGCAACTGCTCCGTTTTCTGCTCCTTGTTTTGTCTTGAGGGACCTCCGCCACTCAGACAGCCACTCAGGCTCAAAGACGCGAGTGTTGCAGGGAGAAGGGTCAGCCTGTAGCTACAGATGAGATTGAATTGTCATTGTGTGTAATGTCACCTATGAGGCATCATTCAGGATTTGAATAATCACTGTTGACAGAGCCCCGCAGCCGGTACATGGCCTGTACACGGATTTCTTTTGAAAGACATTAATTGTTTAAAACGTTTATGTATTCTTTATCTGCTCAAGCAGTCTGGCTAAACATGGGTTAGTAACAGTATAAATAAAAACAATTCAACCATGTCGTCATTAAGATGACATTCAGTTTCTTAATTAGGCAGCACCAAACAGTATGTGTGCCGATAAATAATGCAGAATACAAACAGTTTTACTCTGAACCTAAGTGAATGTGTGATTACTTCAGTTGTATTTACAGTGAAAACTCTGCTTACATTGAAAAATAGGACTATTTTGATCAAGCAGCCATTTTTGTCATGTTTCATCTCTTTTTGAAATGCCAAGGTTAAAATGGAACAAGCTTTGTAATTATAATCATTATTACGTTCCAGCAAGTGTGCAGTTTTTTAAAACTGCACGAGGCTCCTTTTTGTTCCAGTATCAGGCTTCCAAATGGGACTGAGTCACAGAAAAAATATCAAGTTTTGTTGCAGAAAGATGATTCTTGTTTGTCATGCCCGTTTTTACTGACCAGCTCTAGTGTAATAAAGATTGCAACCATTTATGATGTACCATGAATATAACATAACGTGATGCTGTGACAAACGTGTTTGGATGAAATAAAAATTATGATATATAATGTTTTTTAAAACATTAAATTTATTACTTATATTTTTAAGGTACTTATTTTTGAAATGTGTCAAGTTTTGCAGTTTTTTTTTCCATTAGTTTTCCAGATATTTTGAATGCAGTTCTGAAATGTGGCTTAATGTCCATAAATAAAACACATGGAAGCATGATTCACATGATTGTCCTATGTTAAGTTGGCTGTTGTCCATATAGGTAAAACATATTGCTGGCAGTAAGTTTAACGTTTGACACATTTACAGTCATTTCAGATCTTTCTGTAGGTAAACACACACACATGGTCACTGACATCCTGTCACAAATACTGCTTACAAATTTCTATTTAAGAAAAATTTGAAAATTATCATGTTAATTTTGTTTCTCACTTTGTTTTTTTTCCAGTCTTCATAATTTTGCAATGAGTGCCTTTAACAAATTTAGTTTTTTGAGCAATTTGATATTGTCACAACATTTACTTCAGTATCTTCTCTGTTCTATGTTGCAGTCATTCTGATTAACTTTCTGACTTTTACTAAATCATCAGTACTTCCACTACAAGTTACACAAAGTCACAGTACTGTACTCCATCCAGTGAATCCTAATAAAATCAGTTCAGACACCAGCATGTTGGTAAAAATGTTCAAAAACTGAATATTTAAGACTTTAGCCCAGGATTTGATTAACATTAATTTTGCACCGTGTTTTTTAAGAGATATATTAATCCATTCCTCAAAGAATGTAATTTTATTTTGTATGGAACGTGAATATTTCATATCTAAACTGATTTTAATATTGAGGTAGAAACAGTAGCATGATATGTTTAAATCTACATTCAAACCATGTGTTTGTCGCGCCTAGCATCAGCACCTGCCTTCGTCACCAATCCAGTTCGGGTCATAGCCACCCTCGGGAAAGACGTGTCTCTGGAATGCAAACCGAGAGCATCGCCCAAACCCCGGATAACGTGGAAGAGAGGAGACAGAAGGATCCAGCCAAATAAAAGGTAAAACAGCTCCGTGATTCACTCCGAAATTGAACTCCTGACCCGGATATGGTAAAAATAAAAAAGACGTTATAATTTGTCCTGATGCATCTCAGTAATCCAGGTAAAAAATCAAAAAGAAAAAAATTGTATAGGTCTTCTGGACGGGTTCTTCTCTAATGAAACGTTTCGTCTCTCCTCTGAGACTTCTTCAGTCTGAGAGTTTCAGGCAAAATTCGCCTGAAATTCGCCAATTTTGCCTGAAACTCTCAGACTGAAGAAGTCTCTTGGAGGAGAGACAAAACGTTTCATTAGAGAAGAACCCGTCCAGAAGACCTATTCAATTTTTTTCTTTCTGACGTTATCATTTCATGTGCAGCTTGTGTAAATCTTGAAGCTTGCAGTGATGATCAAAGACACTGTGGGAGGACAGCTGTTTGCTAAAATCTGAGTCCAGATATTAGAACGATCATGCCTCTAGTCGTTAGTAACGACAAGTGCTGAACTCATAGAATCATGCTGCTTAACGTATATATCCCCTGTAGTCTTACTAGGGATGTTAAAGACAGAATACATAAATACTATAACAAAGTGTTTGATGAACTTTTATTTTAACAGTACATATAGAGATGCTGAAACAGCTTCTGGAAAATTAAGATTAATATGTTAATCCTTTTACTGAATTCTTAAACTATTAATAGGTTGGATTGTTGGGAGACAAACAATGTTTCTGCTGGTGTCAATGGGATAAATGGTGTTTTGTTTGAAGGCAGTCATAAATTGACAATACTGCATTAAGGTGAATCTGAATGTTTTCCTCTTTACTACATACAGAGTGGAACATTAACACATTTAATTGCCCTTTAAAATATGAATATAGCCATAAAAAGTTTGTTTGCTGCAGTATATTTGTTTTATTTCTTACAGTTTTACGACATAAATCCCAGTGTTATCGTTCTCACCCAGGCCTTTCAGGGATTGTTTGCATGTCCTGTTGGAGCATGTCTCAGTTTCATTACTGTTTCTGAAATGAAGTGAAAATAAAACACTACAGGTTCTGGCAAAGCTTTCATACTTAACCCACTTCCCACTCTAGAACGCTGACAATTTAGACCCGGCAATTGGGTTTGGAATTCACATGCAGTTTGATGCATCATCCTTTATAGGAAACATCTCTCCCGTGCACCTGGAGGGGGCTGAACGGGGCAAGGGCCCATCAATCAAACTGAGCGACGCCGCTGAAATTATTACTTACCGCTGAGAATCGAGAGTTTCTCGCGGGAGAATGAGATGTTTGTGTATCAGACGAGGTTTAGCGGTCTGTTCGAAGGCCTCGTGGCAAGGGCGTCAGCTGATAATCAGATCTTTGGGGTGTGGAACTCACTCACGCAGGCAGCTGCATGTCTCCACGCTTCCAACAAGTGGAGGATTTATTATGACCCCCGCACGCGAAGCGTAAGCAGGAGTCTTGATGTTTTTGGATTGTTTTTTTTTTTCAATGATTTTTGGTCAACCGTAGCACAAAAACGGCTGCACGGATCAACATGAAATTTGGCAGGACTGTAGATGAGTCTGACCTACACTGCTTCAGCCAACGGTTTTACGATAGACCCCATATTTGAGGAGGGGGCTCCTTTCAAAGAGGGGGTGTCTGGACATGCAAAAATGCTTATGACTCAGAAACTGTTCAACATAGAAGCTTCAGGTTTCTTTGGTTGTTTAGCTCTGATAAAGGGCTATCCATCAGTTTAACCTATGCCCACCCCTCCACCCCTAAAAAAGACCCCCACCCAAACCACTACAATTTTGGGATGCACCTAGTACCATGACAATTACCAGGAATAAAGACTTCTGAGTTCTGGTGCATTTGTGCGTGCGGGGGTCATCATGTTACTGCTATGTGGAATCTAGTTTGACTTTTCATGAGAGTGCAAAATAATTTCCAATTATTTTATTTTCCTATCAAAAAATACATCCGCTTTGTTTATTATTTTTTAAGTGGAACTTGTTCATGGTTAGTCAGTATGTGCTGCCCTTGAAAGGTGATTAACAGCTTTGGCGCATCTGAATCAAAGCCTTTAAGATGTTTGTCAGACTTTAGAAAAGCTTTTATTTAGAATCACTGGCATACACAGCAGAGAGATTCATACCTTTTTTTGACCTTTTTGATCTTATTTTTGCCGACTTAAGATAAAGTTTCTTTGTATATTTGCTTCTCCTATGAGAACCAGAAATTATGAAGGAAAAATATTGGCAAAACAATCAGTTCATTTCTCGCCACAGTGCAGTCCATCTTTCACTGTTAAGTACTGGCATGCCGACATATACTGCTCATTTTCTCTATAGTTTCTCAGGGAGGAACTTAAAAAAAAAACCTTGGACGCTATACAAAGTGTTTTTATTATTGGAAGCTGAGATCCAATCAGAGTTTGACACCGTTAACAGGCTGTCTTTTACAACTTAAAGGTACCTTAGTGAGGTAATGAACTAGATGACACTGTGTTTAGAAGAGTCACCATTTAAATAGAGATCAACCTTGTGAAGGGGCGATAGCGATCTGAAAATGGCTGAAACAAAGGAGAGTCGTGCATTTTAAGGTCCCAGTCAGGGTGACTTCTGCAAGGATTGTCTGCCATTATCTCTAGTAAAGAGTCTATGGATGGAGAGATGTATTCTTGAAGGAACAAGGAGAATCGAAGCTGCTTCACGTTTATCTGCCATTGACAGCTGTGCTGACTTAATGAAGGTTTATAATTAACATGGATTTCCGGTAATGTTCGGGGCTTTTGTGTCTTAAATAGGAGGTATTAATCCCATTAGTTTTAAAGTACATGGCAGACTCATTTAAAATAAACAGACTCCTTGTGTCAGACCAAAAAAATAGCTTGGCAATTCCTTCTGCTGACTTTGTAAATAATACATTCCAGTTTACTGATTTAACAAATAAGTAATGATGATGCTGTGATTTGTTTGATTTACCCTCAGAAAGCTTTCATAAGGTAAAGGTTGTGTGTGATATTTCACGGTTTCCTCCAGATCTTCTGAGGGTTGAATTGATTTGCATATTCTGTATACCCAGCAGTCCCTATCTTGTCCTTTCTGCCTCAGTGTCCTTGTCGGATGCGGATTCCTCCCTAATTTGAAAAATGTCTCCTGGCTCTGGATGGCTGCTGAACTGTCTACGTGTAGGTAGATTCTGTCACACCCTCACGAGCTTCTCGTTGCCGTTTTCAATCACCTCGCTGGTGATAAAGGGCTCAATATTGAATGTATAAATGCCAAACAATATGAATTAGATTATGAAAACCTCATACCCCTTATTATTTTCATTGTTGAGGTTGAATGAAATTGATTTCTTGATTAACCGGAATGTGTGAAAGCTCCTCGGTCGCCATATAACTGAAATGACTGTGGTCTGATTTAAATCAGGTTGAATAGCTTTCCTTTCACTGTGATCCCATGTTTCCCACTTTCCCCTGTTATTGCTCACAAAAGTCAAACCTACTGTACATACTAACATACTGGTGAATGTGTCAAATGTCAATGACAAGTTTATTTATAGAGCACTTTAAAAATAACTGAGTAGGAGAGCATAGATTTGAATCTTTTCGCAGTCTGAGAAGTGCATACATGTAGAGGCAATTATTCCAAAGATTTAAGGCAGCCACTGAAAAAGCTCAATCACTTTTATCTTTTAATTCAGACCCAAGGCTGAAAGTGATGTTGATGGTCCAGTGTAAATAAGTAACAAGGTAAAAAAAAAGAACAGGTCATATAGTGGAAGTGGAGCTTTTGAACTACAAAAAGAAATCTCTGGTTCACCAGAGGTTTCTCTTACCAATGATGGGGAGATCAATTAAATATGATGGGGCCAGACCATTTAAAGCATTAAAAGCAAGCATTAAATTCTTAAAATATATTCCAAAATTTGCAAGAAGCCACAGAAGAAATGCCAAGCCTTGTGTTTTCATGCTCCTTTGTAGGAGTTCAAACAAGGTCCTGCCTTCTGAACAGTTTCTAAATGATGTAGAGACGACAAATCTAGACTGACATGCAAAGCACTACAAGAAGTGATGAAAGCATTTTTTTTCACATCTTTGACAAGAAAGATGTCTTCATCTTTGCATAACCTTGAGGAATCTCATCCAGGTTCTTGACAGTAGTAAGACTGGACAGGGCTAAAACTGAAACTGAACTTATGAGTGAAACAAGTTTTCCAAACCAAAATACTTTGATTTTCACCGAGAACAAGATGTTTACTCAGGTTATAATTTAACTTTGACTGTTCAGTAGTTGTTTCAGTGGACTGGGACTGGCTGACCTGAAAGGCAAATAAATATGGATGTCATCAGCATAGCCAAAAATAAACTCCATAAAACACGTACAAATTAAATACCAGAGAACCCAGAATAGATCCCTGAGGGACCCCAGATGTGATATGAGATTGCAAAAGAAGAACACTTTGACTTGGACAAACTTTTCAGCTTTGATTTGTGACATAATATTGGAGACAGTAAATCTCAGCTTGTTGCTTTTTTAACTATTTATTTGAAAATGTAAATCCCAGTTGAGATTGTTCTAAGTGGGTTTAGGGTTGGGCAATATTGGCAAAAAAAATTAATCACGATTAGTTGTGGTATTTAGCCGGTAACGAATAATTTGACGATTAATCCCCTGGAGTCCCTGGACACCCTTATGTCCTGGTCACGTGACCAATTTAGTGAGAAAGATTTGCTCTTCGTAAAAATATGTTCCAAACTGTGTCAAAATTACAGACTTCAGGCTGTACATCAAAATTTAAATTGTGCTGTAAGATTAATAAATTACAGAACTTTTTTTAATGTTCGTCATACTGTATTTGAAGCGGGGAGGAGCACTGAGCGAACTGACAGCCTGCTGGCATTAATCGTATTAATTGTCAAATGCCAAAAAATAATTGATTAATATTTTTCTGACGATTAATTGCACACGATACGATTATGCCCAACCCTAAGTGGGTTGCAGGACAATGTCCTTATCAGAAAAAGAAAAGACCACCATCAGTCTCGGCTGGAAGGCCTTACCACTTGGAGGGTATGATTTAACATTATACTGTGAACTGACATGATTTACACTAAGGTAAAAAAGGTAACACATTTTAATGACTGTTAAATCTTAATACTAAATCATATTTTCATTTCATTTGAGCTAAGTCAAAAATAAACCTTTGATACCAACAACTTGTTCAAAGATTTCTATTTTTGCAACACATTCAAATTAAATTTAAAGTTTCTATGTTTTGAAAAAAATGGTTTCCTTATTGGGAAGCTGAGGAGGAACAAGAGCTTAATATAAACACAATATTATATGATTTTTACTCTGTACACAACAGCTCAGCCACTTGTGACAAGGCTTGTTGATTATAGTTCCATTCACACTATCTTATGTCAAACACTTAATTCCCCTGCTGTTACAACACAGAGCCAAATGTTACTGTTTGTGTCCTTCACTTGATAAGGGTCTACTTATGAATGCAGGAGTGCTGTTTTGCGAGTTTGTTTTTCTTCTCTGTTGCACTTGTTTCCTTGGAGAACAGCCTGACGATGTGCACATGAGTTTGACAGTCCTTTTTTCCCTCTAAATTCATTGAATGCGGCAACATTTAGGCTTCGTCAGGTAGATTCACGGGCGCCATGTGAAGATGAAAGCATTGTTTATTTAGATTTATGCAAATGTTGATGCAGAGGAACAAAGAATCCTAACAACTATTTTATTTCCCATTGTGTAAGGTTCTCCTCAAATGTTGTGCTGAAATTTTTCCTTTGATGAATTTTAAATTATACTGTAATTATTCAAATCGCAGCCTATTGTGATCTCAGAAAGGCACAAGATCAGATATGTTGTAGCTTTGTACTTTGAGCACTGAAATTTAAAGGAATGTGTGTTGCTGTGTTATGTTTGAAAATCTCATTGGATTATTATTTTTAGCCACCGAGCCTGCTCTCATTACATTAAACTGTTTCTTTAAAAGCATCTGTGTCCACTTCTGTTCACGTTGGAGCTACTTAATGGAATTTGAAAATTAAATCTGTTACAGTTTCTTACAGGTTGCATTCTTTTTTTCAAACTGAGTGCACATAACTGAATTATGGGACATCAAAACTCTGTAGCTCGCCAGCAAAACAATTTCTTTAGGATTAAAATGTCATTATATAAAACTTAGTCATGGTTTCGGAGCATTAGCCAAAAGTTGCTTAGTCATTGTTTGAGCTAAATTGGTCAGATTACTTAATCATTGTTTCCTGTGCATTGGCAGCCACCCCTGCAAATCTGAATGTTTTGTTCAACTTTCTGTTGAAGAAAATACTTTTTTTTTTTAGTTTTGAATGCTGTTGTGAGTCACACTGAGGCATTTTTCGAATACATGCCAAAAGTTTTAGTCATAAAAAACAGCACACATTTGTGTAGCAATGCAATAATTCTCAAGGAGACTGTACATTTTCTTCCTTCCATGCCAAGTCATGCCAGGTGAAGAGAAAAATTGCACAACAATCTTTAATAAAAAAAAATTATATGTTTTGTTTTTGTGGAAAAGAATGTTCTTTCATGCAGGATGTTAAATATCTCCTTGTTGGACAGCCTGTTATTCCTTTTTTTTGTCAGATTTTTGTCAAGCTCACATCTGATGTTTTTCTTTTTAGATGCCCCGAGGTGGAATGTTTTTTTGTGGAGGCACCTTGTACAATAATTATCTCTGATGTTTTTACAAGCCACATTCAGATGTCAGAGAGGTCTGTTTTTCCTGCCGATGGTTATGTGTTTTTCACCTTTTCTGCAGGTTTCAGAGAATAGTGGAAAGCCCTCCACTGATATCATTTTGTGCACAGCAAATCCTTTCTTAACAATGTTGGCTTGCTGGAAGCTGACATGATACCCACCACACACACACACACACAATGCTTTAGCAAATTGGGTGTCTGTAAGGTGTGTTTAGGAAGGGAGGGGAGAAGTTTTAAAACCTAATTTGTGCTCAAACCATAATAAAAGCTGCCATCTCGCACTGCAAGATTGTCCCCCACTTTTGTCTCCTGTTTGTACTTTGTGTCCTCTGCATTTCAGCAGATGCAGCCCAGGTCAATAGATTAGTTCCTTGATCTCACTTGGCAGCTGTTCATCCAGTCCGACAGACATCAAAAGCATGTCGGTTTGAGAAAATGTACAGGTTGCACATGAATGAGATATTTTGCAAACGGAAAGGATCACTTTAAGGTCCAGGCATTAAAAACTGACTGAATATAGTTTTGTTCTGCAAGGTGATTTGTTACGCAAATTATGATACAATTGTAGTTAGCATTTTTCACATGTAATTAGCTTAAATGACCAAGAAAAGTAATATAAACTAGACATGGGTTTTTTACGATGTAAAAACAAGTGTGCATTGCCATGTAGCATGTCATTGCAGGGTGGCTTTGCCTGCTGCATTGGACTTGCAGAATGAACTTTGACCAAGTTCAAATGTGTTTTCTATACCAGCTTGTGCCTGCCACATCAGCAGGTGTTTGTATTTAAGGTAATTGTGTGACAATATGAAATTTGAAGAGATTTTTTGTTAAAGTTGCATTAGCTGGGTATTGAACCCTGATCTCCCACATGAAAGTCCATGACATAGACCATTAGACCAATGGAGCTGTGGCAGAACATGGTGGCAGGGATTGGTTTGCATGTGTGCAGGAAGAGGCCACATTGCCAAAACAATTATTGACACAAAAATGCATAATATTACAACTATCGAGCAGTTTTAAGACAATATTATATTAAAACATCAAAATACAATCATATTAGTACTGTAAACACTGAACTACTGAGTTGAAATATTAAACTATGGTGCAGTACCAAGTTGAGTACAGCATGGGGCAGGATTGGACCAATACAAGGTTCCATTGACTGTCATTATAATTCATTAAACATTAATATTTCATAAACTATAAGTTTTACAAGCACCAAAAGGCACAGCCATCATTTGGCACAGGAGCGTTACAGATATAAATTACAATGGCAACTCTAGGACAAAGTATGCAGGAGGAGAAGCAGGGCAAAGTTGAGATGACTTGGATGGGAAACGAATCACAATTGGATCAAAGTGAATGAGGAAAAAAACTGTAAATTAAAATAATTTCCTCTTTGAAAGACACAATAACTAAAGTGATCTGCACAATTTCTCCATTCTTTATCGCTAAAAGTTCCAAACTTCCAAATGTTTTTTGTCGCTTGCTTCTTGTTAGCAGCAATGTTGCTAAATTTTTGTAAAGAAAAGAGTTAAATAAATGTTTTTTATAATTTTTTTAGTGAATATTATTCCTGTATTTCTACACCAGCATGTGACCGCAAACCTGAACCTGCAATGCAACTCCGGCTACGTGAATTTAATTCTCGTATTGATTTTTGTGTTCTTTTCTTACAGGATTTTGTTGTTACGAAACAACACTTTGAAAATTGTTAACTCCAGCCGAGCAGATGAAGGGAACTACGTGTGCCGGGCAGAGAATCAGTTGGGCTCGGCAGAGATGACTGCCACACTGTGGGTAAAAGGTAAGCGATGCCCTGGGGGCCTTTATTTTCTGCCAAATTAGCACAAGTCAGCCTCCAGTAAACAGTCGCCAATGTCATTTTACCCCCCACCATTTCTTGGGTGCCGGGAAATTTATTGTGCTTGATCAGGCGTGAAGAAGGGTTTTCACATTCAAGAATCATATTACAAGGGCAAACTTTAACAGTGTAGCAGTCCACCTCAGAGATGCACTGTGCACAGGACCACTAGAGCTGGCTAAAACTAGCTTTTCTGGTCGTCGCTCCGGCGCTGGTGCTGCAGTCAATCGCAGCTGCTTAACGCTAGTTCTGGGTAAGCCTGGGGTGACAGTGCAGCAGTTTTGTGCTTCCAGAGGCCATGCGTGTGGCGCTCAGCCCGAGCCGAGTGGAGGTGACCGTCGGGGAGAGTGTGGTGCTGAGCTGCAAGGCCACGCACGACACGTCGCTGGATGTGGCTTTCCAGTGGTCCTTCAACCAGAAACCAATCAGCTTTCAACAAGACGGCAGCCACTTCGAATCCATCCAAACAGTAAGAGCAAGAGTAAGAGCCAAAACATCTCTTAAGTCACTTTAAAATGTGGGTCGTTCTGTTATCAGTTAAATTCTTTCTTTCTGATCATGTAAAATCATAAACATGTTGGGTGTAAATAAATATACAGTATATAGTTTTGATTTGTTTCTTTAATTATGTGAATGCTGAGTCAGCATTTGACCTGTTAGGTTTGTTTGTGCATTTTTTTTGCTTGTATTTTTCATTTATCTGCTTATTTAATCAGTTTTATTGCATGACACAAGAAGCTTGAATCTTATATTAAATTAAATGATTAGAATTTATGGTAAATTGTTACAAAGCATTCAAGTTTTGCACTGGTTTAAAGATTCAAAATATATATTTTAGCTGTTAAATAGTAATTTGAGTCTTTTATGACAGTCGAAACTTGCCCTGTCACACTGACATTTTAGACAGTTTATGCCAATTTTGGAGACATCTACATTGAAGATGGAATTAAAAATCAACTGGAAGTCTCTTTTAGGCGCGTACATATTTTAATGTTAACAAACTGATCAAATTTATAACTTTTATAAGTAATATAAAAATAAGATGGCATAAGTTGTCTAAGAGGTTATAGTGTGACAGGGCGTTTAGACTTCTGAACGGCTTAGAGTGCAAACTGAAATCTTAACTGTTTTGGCTCAGTGATGCTCAGAACTTTCCTAATCAACAGAATCAAAAGTAAATTTCAGATTTCTCATGAGCCGTATTCCTTGAAAACTAAATGTACAAAATGTGTCAACAACTGAAAACTTTTATTAGTTCGTGCGTTTCAGCCGCACGTCTGTGAGTCAGCGTCATGTTTCCACATAAAACAAAACGAGACACAGAAAATACCTGAAAATGTAAAAATCAGTGGAGACAGTAGCTGCAGTAATCAGTAGGTATGGAGCAAGCCATAATAAGGCTAATCAGCACTGCTTTAACAGTCTGGATGAAGAAAAACACATCGAGAAATGATTTCCACTTGGCATGTGGATTATCTCTATAGAAATCACTGTTTGTGCTGAAGTTTTTACACTGCGTCCGCCGTGAACAATGTGTCTCTGCCCCAGCAAAAATGTGCAAGGTTATATTTTTTCTAAATGAAAGCAAATTTGATATATATTTTAGTAAAGTTGATTAAATTTGACAAACTTGTCAAACACAGATAATTGGGTTGTTTGCTGCTTTCGAAATTCTTATCCAGATTCTGATGCTTATGTTGGAACAATGATTGTTCAATAAATGTCTGCTTGTGTTTTTATCAAGATTATAAAAAAGGTTGATTCGGTTCACAGAAGCTTGATGGAAGAAAGTTTTTGTAACAATCTACTACAAACTGAATACAGAGAAGTAAAGTGAAAACTTAGAAGTTGCTTGGGGTTGGATTGGAGTGATAATTTGTTTATCCATTAAAGTCCACACCCAGTTATTCTTTGTGTCAAGTCTGTTGATTGAAATATGGATGAAAATTCAAAATTATATTTATCTTTAAATCTTAACAACAATGTTTGAGAGCTTAGTCCAGCTGCAGCTTGCTGTTTTGCCTTTAAGTACGATGTCAAACTAGAAACCACACAGTCGTAACATACATGACCCACGCACATACACAAAGCATCAGAACTCAACTGGAACAGATTTATTGTTTTGGGTGGGGGTCCAGGGGGAGCACATTGGCTCCATCAGAGCTAAAAAACAAAAAATCTGAAGCTCCTATGTTGAATAGTTTTTGAGTTATAAGCATTTTTGTATGTTCAGACACCCCCTCTTTAGATGGAGCCCCCTCCTCAAATGTGGGGTCTATCATAAAACCGTTGGCTGGTGCAGTGTAGGTCAGACTCATCTACATTCCTGCAAAATATCATGTTGATCAGTGCAGCCATTTACATGATATAGTTGACTAAACATCATTGAAAAAAATTAAATAATATTTTAAAATAACAGTATAAAAACAATATGGCCCCCACTTGGCAGGTGGGGGTCATAATAAGAAATGATTCTGTACGAAAAACCACATGAAAATAAACAAACAAATAAGGGAAATAAAGAATAAAACTAAATGAATCATTATTTCAATACAAAAGTGATTTTTTTGTTTATAATATGAAAAATAAAGTTTGCATAAAATATTTTTCAAATTCCTTCCTTATTTACTATATATTATTTTTTTCCCTTTTTTTGCAGAAACCTCATCTGACGTTTTTGTTATTTCTCAGCTTTTGATGATACAATATTTGGTAGTTTGAGGTATGTTAGCCAGTATTTTAACACTGACATCATTTTCTGCTTTGGAACACCACAGAGAACAGGTTTGTCTCTGACCATAAATATGGTTTGTCAGGAATTAAAAATAAAAACAAATCAGGATACACAAGGTTGGATGCAAATTATCAACAGAGCAACAAGTCTTGTTGATGCCGTTTAATTTTTTTCATCAATAGCGAGCGTTAAAATCTCGTTCTTCCTGAGGTGTCCTGAGCCACGACTGCACTCTGGAGAGGAAGTATTTGCAGTGACAATCCTTCACAGGCAAACACAGGCCGGGCTGAAGTGTGGCTTGTAATTTTAATCAGGTTTCGTGCTAAACAGCTGCCTGTAGACCTTGGATTATTCCCAGTCTTGCCTCGGGCCTTTCTCATTTCAGCAGACAGAAACTACCAGCAGCTGAAGAATGTAACACCACGCAAGCACCTGAATTAAACAGGAATTTCTCGAGCCACATGAGCCTCTACAAGTTGTAAAGGAATCACACTTCTTGTGTCATGCTCATTTAGGCTTGCCTGATGCCTTCCTCTCTCTCTTTTTTTAATGCTTTCCTGTTCTCAACTGCAGCAGTCCTCGACGGTGGATCTGATGATTAGGAGCATTTTGTTGAAGCATGCTGGGAAGTATGGATGCAGAGCCCAGACCAGTGCCGACACGGTGTTTGCAGAAGCAGAGCTCCTCGTGCGAGGTAAGCCTGATATCTTTCAGTGCAGCAGTAAAAACTGTGCTGTCATGTTCACTCTTCACCAGAGTCCAAAATCACCCCCCACAAACCCACCAAAATGACCAAAGTCCCTAAAACATGACTCATTCATCCGCACACACAAGAATTTAGTTTGAGGAGAATAAAAAAAATAATGTGTGTTTGGGCATCTGAACAATGGTTTCAAGTTTTATTTTGAGCTCTGAAGCAAAAGAGTTTGAGTTTAAAAAATCTAATATTTAAGATTTTGCCACTGAATGAGTCACATTACAGCAGAACTGTAGTCGGCTTGAACAACTTCAATATTCACCAGTAAGTACGTTTTCTCCACTGTCTGGTGATAAAATGTCCTTTTTTCCTACATATATTGTTGTGTATGTGGCTTCCATCTTGGTCCTGGAACAGTGGGCTAGATCTTTAGCCTTGCAGAGTGGGCCGTGGGAGTTTGACCGTGTTCCTCGAGGCATTCTATGTGGGGGGTGCTGCAGGAGTATGGAGTGTCTGGGTTGCTACTAAAGGTGATCCAGTCCCTGTAGAACCAAAGCAGGAGCTGCGTTCGCATTCTTGGCACAAAGTATCACTTGTTCTCAGTGCAGGGTGGACTCTGCCAGGATGGTCCCTTGTCTCTGATGTGTTTGTAGTGTTTATGGACAGGATCTTAAGGCGCAGTTGTGGAGAGTAGAGTGTCTGGTCTCTGCTGTAGACAGATGATGTGATTCTGTTGGCGTCTTTGGACCAAGACCTTCAGCATGCACTGGGGCGGTTCGAAAGTAAGTTCCTCTAAATCTGAGACCATGGTTCCCAGCTGGAAAGGGGAAGGGTGGAATGCCCCCTCCGGGTCGAGGGAGAGTCTCTGCCTCAAGTGGAGGAGTTTAAGTATCTGGATGGATCGACAGATTGGGACCTCATCCTGAGTAATGAGGGCGTTGCTTCGGTCAGTTGTCGTGAACAAAGAGCTGAGTCGAAAGGCAAAGCTCTGGATTTACTGGTCTGTCTTCGTTCCAACCCTCACCTGTGGTCATGAGGCGTGGATCATGATCGAAAGAACGAGATCCCGGATACAAGAGGCCGAAATGARCTTCCTTCGTAGGGTGGGCCGGGCTCAGCCTTAGAGAGAGTGGGAGGAGCTCTGTCATCCGGGGGGAGCTCGGAGTAGAGCCGCTGCTCCTCCACATCGAAGCAAGTCAGTTGAGGTGGTTCATCTGGTTAGGATGCCTCCTGGACGCCTCCCTTTAGAGGTGTTCCAGACACGTACCACTGGTGGGAGACCCCGGGGAAGACCCAGGACTGACTGGAGGGATTCTCTGGCCTGGGAACACATTGGGTTCCCCCAGGACAAGCTGGAAAGTGTCGCTGTGGAGAGGGATGTCTGGGTTTCTCTCCTGGACCTGCTGCCTCCGCGACCCGACTACAGATAATCAGAAGAAGATGGAGACATTGTTATTCAATGATTATTGTTCATGCAGGTCTGGTTTTAACTCTCTTGTTATGACTCAGTGACAAGTTTTCAGACTCCTCGTTACTTTATGTTTAGCATTGTACTCAAGCCTCATAGATCCACTTATATGCCTTTTTCTTAGATGTGTTTAGTTAAGATATTAGTTAAGTTATTACCCATAAAAACAATATAGAAAGACAGCAAATGAAAAACAAATAAATAAATAAAACACATGAAAGCAGGTGGGATATTTTTTAGCAGCCAGGATTTGTCATCACAACCTTTTGCTCAAACCACTTCGGTCCATGTTTGACTGAAATTACTGAGCTATAAGGTCATATATTGATTTTATGTAAGCCATTCAGAAGCCTAAGGCAAGTTTAAAGCAGGGCAGCACAATATATCAAAAGTTTATTGTCATCACACTATCAGAAGCACAAAGTACTGCTTGGACTGCAACAAATCATGGACCATTATATTTTAAGCACCATGCATTCATGCTCTGCATGCTGATGATATATTTGGTCATCCAGCAGCTTCTAACTGGCCTTCATAACCCACAGCTGCTTTAGATGATGGTGATGACAGCAGTGTGGAGTTGTTGTAAGATACTGTCAACCCACGATTAAATAATAATAGTCACCTTCCCATGTTGTTCAGCTCTAGTTTACAGGAAATAAGACTTTTCTGGTTTGGCAAAGTTTTGTTGGGATGAAGCCAATTTTTTGTTTGCCTGGATCAGAAAATGCAAATGCCATTTTCTTTACAATCTTCCTACAGTTTAGGGCCACAGAACACTGAGCTTTACTGAGGAGCTCACCTGCCAGCTTTTCTTTTACAGCTGTTCACCCTGAAGTCCTTCCATGTTTGTTGCACTTACAGATTGCATTTTCCTCTGAGGACTGAAGTAAACATATGTTCAGCTGTACTGAAATACAGGACGGGCTATCACATCGTGTTTTTTAGTTTAACTGCTTTAGAAAACATGATAAGATTTCCTTATATGCTTTGGAACAGATTTTTTTCTGTCCTCACATTTGGGAAGAATTTTTTGTAAATTTTGTATTTTTTTCTGTACATTACTTCTGCAGTTTTTATGTTTTTTCAATAATTCATATATCAAAATGTTCACATTATCCAGGACACTCCTGCTGTGAGTGTCTGTATTTGTGCCATTATTTTAACATTCTGAAATATTTAGCTTTTTTGGTCTTTTTTTTTTCATTTCACCTTTTCTATTTCAACTTTCCAGCTACTTTCTGCTAATTTCAGCTTTTTTTCCAACTTCCATCTGCTAGTGTAGGCTTTTTCTGCTCCTTTCAGCTGCTTTCTGCTAACTGAAGCCTGTTTTATTTTTTTTTTAATTCTTTTGTCACTTTTCATCAAATTTTCTGCCAGTTCCTTTTGTTTTAGTTAGTTAGTTAGTTAGTAAGTTAGTTAGTTAGTTAGTA